CCAAAATTACTTAAGTTTCCTTCCAAACAACACTTCATTACTACAGTCGAATGCTCCACGAAATATCTTTAAAACGTTTTTATTATCTTTTTTAGCAAAATCATAGCCAAGCTTTAGAATTACTGTGAAATTACCTTCTCAAGGGGTAATGTGAATGAGAAATGAGTACTAAAACATTTCCAAGATATATTAGAGAACATGCAACTAGAATTTTTCGTGTGATGTATAAAACATATGACTTCTATCACAGGCGCTTGGGGAATGGATCTTCCTTTTTTTTTTCTTTTTTTGTGTTTATATAATTTATTTATAGTGAATATTCTTTAAAATTTCAACTTTTTCACTTATTTAGTGTTTTCTAATCTTGTCGATACGATAATACTATAACAGTACTTAGTTTATATATACTGCCCCTCCATTCTTAACAGAGGGGCAGCATACATAAATGTGTCGTATTGATAAGAAAAAGAACACACGAAATAATTTGAATATTAACGTAAATTGAAAAAAAGCGAATTGAGGGAGAGAAATTCCAGAATAAAAAAAAGAAACATATGATAGGAGAAAAGAGACAGAAACAAGCAACCAAATATTAACGATTTCAATAGCCAAGATTGAGGAAGTCTTGCGCCAAAGAGAACATTGCTAAATTTTAAGAAAAAGAAGAAACTGATAATTCACAAATAGTAAAAGAAAGTTAAAAAAAAATAAGACATCAAATGTTATAAACGAAGACATTCATTGTGATATTTTGGAGGGACGCTTGTTCTAAGAGTAATATTTTCCCCTGATTTTGTTTCACTCATAGTATCAAAATCATTTTTAAAGTTTCAAACATCTGAATTTTGAAAATGAAAGACGCTAAATAATATACACAAAGATTTTAAATCATGTTACATACATTCAAGACATCAAATTTATATTCAGTGCTAAAGATTGGTGTTGGAGACAATTTTGACACAAAATTACAAATTTTGCATGTGTATAAAAAATGCTTTTAATTCTATGGAAATTATGATATCAATGCTTGCATTTATTAATGCCAACCCCGGTTTGGGAAAATGAAAATATATAATGAAACAACTTCGAAAATCTCTGCAAAATGATTACTTATTTGAAGAAATGACGGAAAATTCTACGGTGAAATTTGTCCTTTCTCTATGTGCCATCAGGCATAGCAAGGACTGGGTAAATAAGTAAATTCTGCGGTCACTTTAGCGACATTTTCAAGTAAAAAGCTTGTACGCTTAAGGTAGATTCATGGTATACCGCCATCTTGGATTGTACAATCGCAGTACACAATCGGTCTAGTTATTTGCCCAAATCTGCAAATTAGGAGACAGATTTGCAATTTATTTGTCACACTGTTTATTTATTTAAAGAAAACTTGGTGATTTATTGTATTATTCAAAATATTCCAACAAATATTAAATTTTGTGTTTTGGAATCATTTTTTTCAACTAAGCCATTTAAGGGGAGATAACTCTTTTAGTAAAAAATTACACTGGCTTGATAGGGAAATTTTTAATTTTTACTTTTAGCAAGAAAACAAGTTCGGTGACACCATTTTTTTCTTTTTATTTTCTTAAAACATGTTATAAAACCTATCTTCTCACAATTTATTTCAAAATTCTATCTCATAGATTTCTTTTTATGCATACAAATGAGTTTTTTCATGAACAATCTAACCAGATTTAGGCAAGTTTCAACGACTCATAGCTTGAAAAATAGCACGGTGACCCATACTTTTTATTATATTTTTGAAAAAGGCATAGTAAAATCTTCATTTTGGCAAAGTATAAGAAAATTCTATCTCAAAAAATATATACCGATGATCTACCTTAATTAAAACGTTCTTTGGAACAACGTCAAAATCCTCTTTTTATTGGAAACGTCGTGTAACGCTCAGTGGTACCAATACCGTGCGCAACGTCTTAAACAAGTGAAAAAGTGGAAAATATTAAAGAATTTTTACCTAAAAAATCACACAAAAAAAGGAGAAAAAAAAGACATAGACAAAAGAGGGGGTCCATGTCCTTAGCGTCTGTGACTTCTCTATTTTCTTAATTCAAGTTGTAGACATTCAATGTTTTTTTCTTTTTTTTTAATTTCTATTAGAGTTGAAATATCTGATATTGATGTGCGTTGTTATGTGTTTTAGGGGCGTAAATATCGATAAAAGACCATTTCAACATAGTGTTAGCTTGTTTGGTGAACTTCTGTACACCAGGCTGAAGAGCCAAGGGTTAAATTAACAGTGGTGATAGGCTCATAGGATCTTTACAATTGTCAGTGAAATATTCACACATGATCTTTATAATCAGTATGATGCTGTTCGGGTATAGAATAAAACTACAGGCTCCAAGTGCCTGAATGTCTGACCCAGTTATATTACTCTTTTTTTTGTCAGTGTAATAGTCACACATCTTAACAACCACTTTGATGCTATTCGGTTTAAAATAAAACTACAGGCTCCCCAGGCATGAATGTCTGACCTATTTTTTTTTCTACCATAAATGACCTAATACTATTATTGTTTTCATGTTCTCATTATAGAAACGATGGTCAGGTTTTCGTTTTCTTGAAACTATATAAAAAGTTGTTTCGATATCAGAGGTTTTAAAGTAGATGATGTTTTTTCTTCAAAAGTTAACGCATCCAAAAGATTTATAAGAGCCTACATGTTCCAAAAATTAAATAAAAAAAGGTAAATCAAAATTCTGTGTTTTATTATAAAAAATCGATCAGAAATGATTGTGGAATGACACCTCAAGTTAAGCTATCTAGTAGTCAGCGCTTCGGTACTGGCGTGTTCAAAATGATACATTGCGATTTTACCTAATACTGTTTTAGTTGATCTTTAATTTTAGGTAATCCCAAATGTTTCATGATTATGGCTTCTTAAAGTTTTGATCTCGAGCATACCTGGTGACGCTAGGATAATCAAGAAACACGCACCATGCGCATAGAGATAGGTAGCATACGTTTTTTTAAGGACTTTGACTTGTATTGTCTATCACGTAACTAATGACCCATACAATGGTTACATTGTATAGGTAGTATATTGTAATATATTTTTACGATTAACGTGTCCTCTGTCGACCTTTAATAATATTTCTCGTGTAGAAACATACATTTTTATGGTATCTTTAGCGCTAATTTTGCCATTAATTACCAATTTATCTAGTACAACAAGTCATACATGTATCATAATCATATCGACATTTATCTAACAATCACAAGCTTACTTTGTATGTCTGCATGAGGATATCTATAGTGTCATTATCTTTAACATAGCTTAAACCTTTCAAATCTTACAAGGTATCGATCGACCATATTGCATGTTGGGTTTTTTTGTTTGTTTTTGTTTTTTTACAATATATTGTGAAATTAATGATAAAAATGCTGTCTATAGCATATAAGCGTACCTAGTAACTATAACTGACTTTTTTTCCATTTGTGTATTGAAAAAAAAGCCGACATAGACTTTTCCTTTAAAAAGCAACGCCAGTGGTTAATCTACTTACGTAAAGTTTTAATAAATGGAAAAAAGAAAGCCCGGGAAAAAATCAACAGCTGACTGATGAAGAGACCGGTCGTCTGCTCTAGTAAGTGGTTACATTGGTCCTCCTCGAGGTCAAAATCAGTCAGTTTAGTAGGTGGATTCGAATGTTAAAGAGTTTAATTGTTACAATAACAAACAAAATCATGTTCATAATATACAAATGGTAGTAGTGTCTTGATGAGAATTTATTTTATACATTGCTATTATTATATAGTGCATTTACTGCAGATCAAGAATTATCTAATGAAAACTCAAAATGCTGGTTTTCTACACTAAATAAAGTATTTAAAGTACTTAAACTTGATACAAAAAATTTGACCAATAATAGTGTTTTTAAAAATAGTCTGATAAGATACTATAGTCAGCAATCTGACAAGTTTACAACTACAAAAAATCAAATCTGGAGCTGTGGACAGTAAACTGGTGCTTTTCAGTAATATTTTTGTTCCAAATTTTGTTCCCTTCTATCTTCAAACCAATCTTACCAAAAATATAAAAAGTAAAATTACACAACTACTTATCAGTGCTCATTGTTTAAATATAGAACGGGGTAGATATAATAAACCCAAAATTCCAAGAGAACAACGTTTTTGCAAATTTTGCACTAAAGTAGAGACTGAAGAACATTTTTTGATATCTTGTGATAAATATAAAGATATAAGGCAAACTTTTTTCCAATCTTATGGTTTAGATTTAAAAGATTTGGGTAATGATTATTTTTCAGTTTCTAAACTTTCAAATCCACAAAATATTACTGAATGTAATTATTTATACAAATTTATTAGAGATGCATTAGAAATAAGAAACAATTCTTAAAAATATGGGTACAACTGTATTATTTTATATTACATGTGAAACTTTGAAATGTTGTTTTGTATATTATTATATGATTTGTAATGGAGAACACTAATGTAATATTAGTTATCTTAATAAAGAATCTGAATCTGAATCTATTATTTAACGTGAGTAAATTCAATCATACGCGTATATATGAGACAGTAAACCGACGACAAAAACCAAAGTTATTTAATTAAAAGGTCAACATAGGTATCGTGTTCAAGAATAGAAAAGTGCGAATACAAATGGTACGCTCTAAACCGCCCGGATTCTAGAAAACAATGCGAATGATTAGATTTTAGAGACTAGCAAAGTTTGCAAAGTTTTACCGTCATTACCAAAGACCATAAATGACAAGACATATATAAATTAATAACATAACCTTTGACAAGGATCTATTTATGAACATGTAGCGGTGTTACGCCCTCTTATTTTTAGATTCCAAGCCCATCCTTTTTAAAGCCTATCAATTGATGAACAAAAAGTCTTTAAATAGCACAAATTTGATTAGTACACAAAAGGCACTCAGCACCTGGTATAAACGTAAGATAAACGCAAGCATTAAGCACACGAATAATTTAAAATAAAACAAAAGTAACAATGTTGCAAAATTTATATATTTTTTTAAATAAAAGGATATCCATGTAACAAATGACTTGTTTGCACCGGAAGCGATGGATGCAATGCGTCACACGTGTACTTTAATGGACAAAATAAATACGTAACGGTAAAATATGTTTATTATGTTTCAATGGTTTCAGGCATCGTTCCAAATAAATTACACAAATAAAATGACAAAAATGTAAAACAGATTGATGGCGAGGTCGATGTTCTGCTCTAGTTCGTGATAACCTATAGTTACATTTTTTTCTTTTGATATTAAACCAAAATTATTTTAAATGACAGATTTAGAACGGCATCCATGACCTCACAGTTGTTCATCTAAAAAAAAAGGAGCGATATCTACCGAGTCCAAAACATTTCCTTTATCACTTTCTTGACCGATCATTGTGTCCTTGTAATTTTAAATATTTGGCACATTGTAGTAAAAAAATTACACTCATCACTTAATGCATGTCCCAGATATATAATGACAAAATACATCCCAAATGTTATTTACCTGTCACCGTGTATACTTAATGGACAAAACATGTAGCTTGTTAAACAGTATTTTGCTGTTGAAATTCACAAAATATTTGTGATTTGCGATTCATTCTTTCCTTGAATTTTTATTTGTTCATCAATTTGAAAATAAAAATCAATAAAATTCTAACAATGCAGGTTTATATAGCTTATGAGTGCTAAATTTACTGCAAGTTGCATGGGGTATGGCTTGTTGAAAACTAGGTTGATACAATCCACATTAAAATCTTCAAATATCTTGATTACATGCCATCACACCAGCAGTGATCACTTGGGCAGTTGTCTGGGTTTGAATTGCACGTGATAGTACACCATCTATCCATTGATGGATCACCAAACGATGTCATGCTGCGGCATTTCATTGATTGTACATGCGCATATTGAACATTGTTTTGACTGTAGCTTTGAGTAGGCGGGCATGTACACGAGCAGACGGCTGCCGGACATACTCCCGTAGGGCATAAAACAGAACACCATTCGTCAAACGGTCTATTGTTATTCCACAAGGGCACAGCTTTACATACAGGGCGAATAAATCCCTCACATTCAATCATACCAGATTCCATGGCCGTATCCATTGGCAACGACGATACATATTGCAATACCATAGCTGTAATTTGATTTTTAGAATCCAACATTGAATCATACGACACTTGTTTCGAAATTGGTGAATGTTGTCTAAAGCTTTCACGTTGTGTCGGTTGAGTGTTTCTGTACTGTTGAGGTGACTTTTGCCTCTGATACACATAGACTCTATTTTGAGAGTTATGGCCAGCATTTAAACTCCGTTGAGTGTTTGAGTTCATATACTGGTAATTATTAGAACTTTGAGCGTTTGAGTTCGTTGGCTGGTATTTATTAGAACTGTGAGCGTTTGAGTTCGTTGGCTGGTATTTATTAGAACTGTGAACGTTTGACTTCGTTGGCTGGTATTTATTAAAACTTTGAGCGTTTGAGTTCGTTGGCTGGTAATTATTAGAATACGAATCCACTGGTGGTTCCATAACAGATGCATCGTATACGTTTTGAACGGTTTGTTTCGGTATAGGTGTAGTTTTTGCAGGGTTATGAATAACATTCATTTTAGGACCTGTTTTACTGATAAACACACCTCTTTGTCCAGGACGATTTAGAGGCAGTGCATGGGCTCGGCTGCCTATTGAGACATCAGCACAATTGATGAAATGTTCTTGTGGTCCGCATCCAAAACATTCACCGCCTTGACCATTGCTTCCCTTGTTCTGAGCTGCAAACAACAACAAACAAAATCATTTTGATGCAATACAAATAATTAAACTAAATGTGATCCAAATTACTCACTTTTTCTAGTATGGAGATTGGGGGTTAATTTGGATTATACCAGCAAAATTAGTTTCATGTCAAATCAGATAAAACTTCACGAACAAGTTATATTGCTGTACATTTTTAGGGAAAAGAATTTTGGGGTAAAACGATAAGAAACACTATATCATACCAATATGTAAACTGAACACTGTTCATAAGTATGAGCTTGATTCTAGGTTGAGTAAATTCTATGAAGACCCATTAAGTACAGAACAGATATGACCAAAGCCCCTTCTAAGCAACCATTACCAAAGATGGTTGTTGGCATTAAACCTTGTACCTTAAAATATTCCCGAATGAATTACGGTTGCCTATAATTGCTTAGATACACTTCATTTGAACTTTGGTGGATAGTTGTCTCATTGGCAATCATACCACACCTCCTTATTTTCATATAGTACATGTATATGTTTGAGTGACAACTATTACAAAGCGTCCCCGTGTCCATTTTATTGCCGTCTTCATTTAAACATACATTTTATTACTGAAACTAACTTTCTGTCTTATCCTCAAACACATCACTAATATGAAAGGAATATATTGTTTTTTAAAATCATTCTGCATTTATCGGCATGTCTTAACAATAACACATTGTATTAATAGACCTTAAAAAATCTGCGTACCTGCTCGCCATTTCCACTGCAAGACACACTGTGAACAACTCAATCCTGGTGGCAGCGATAACTGAAATTCCATAAATAAGTTAGAATCTGGTGAGTCTATGACATATCGCTTTCCGTGACCCATAATATTCAAAACATTTCTGTTTAAACATTCCTGAGTTACAGCCCTTGAGGGATTATTGTTAGGGCAGAGTCGGAATTCGTAGTACCCTTTATGATTGCTCGTTAATTCTACTGTCACGTTTATAATCTGTCCTGTGGCGTAATGCCGGGCAATAGTTCCTGTGGCATATTTGCCACCTGCTTCATTATTTCTTGGACTTATCCAAGGGTCACCGCAAGGGCCACATCGACCACCATCATCCATCATTTTCTGAAGAAAAAAAAGAAATTATTCGAATTTTTCAACAATAATTATTACGTCGTCCATTTTGTATTCCTGTTCCTGAGATGATAGGAACATTTAGATAAATGACCGCATGAGATTAAGGTTCTTTCCCTTTCCGAATATGCAGGATTTTTCTTATTTTGTGGTTTGTTTACAAAATGAAAATAGAAAATATCATTACACTATTGGTTTAATATCTATTGTAAAATAATCTCAACATTTATGTTTACGCTTGAAAATGTCACATAGAATGCATTAGATTCTGAAAAGTAACTTGACAATCATTTTTTAAGGGATGTCAACAAGTATGCTTGGTAGTTCCGAATATAATTTCAAAATGATACTCGACTGATCGGTTTCCTATTACATGTATCACATTGTCCTTTTTTTATAAAATTGATTTTCTTGTGAATGCACATCGGATAATTAAATAGTAATCTTCAATTAATCATAATTAAAATATAGTTTCGTGTGTTTGTTTTAAATTGTCGTTTAAAATGTCTCCGAAATTTTCCGTTTATAAGGGATTCTAAAAAATGCATACGTATACCTAACAACAAAATTATTTTCATTTACCTGTGTTTAAAGTTATTGCAAACGGCTGATATTTTTGTTCGAGCAGATTGTTTTTCTTTAATTGTTTAACATTTCATACCGATATAACATGTTACTTTTATTATTCTTCCCTTAGTTTATTTATTTTGTATTTACATTGTATCATAAGTCAAATTTATTTGTTCAGTGTATGTTCAATGGTGTTAATATGTCCTTTGATTGAGTTAAGCTATTTCAGTTGATATTTTATAGTGTGTCTTTCTATTTTGTGATGTTACACTATTGTTTCAGAAAAAGGGTGAAGGTTTGGTACCATTAAAACGTTTAAACCCGCTGCATTTGTTTGTACCTGTCCTAAGTCAGGAATCTGATGTTCAGTAGTTGTCGTTTGTTGATGTGGTTCATAAGTGTTTCTCGTTTCTCGTTTTTTATATAGATTAGACCGTTGGTTTTCCCGTTTGAATGGTTTTACACTAGTTATTTTGGGGGCCCTTTATAGCTTACTGTTCGGTGTGAGCCAAGGCTCCGTGTTGAAGACCGTAATGTGACCTATAATGGTTTACTTTTATAAATTTTGACTTGGATGGAGAGTTGTCTCATTGGCACTCATACCACATCTTCTTATATGTGTGTGTATTATCTAGGGTAATTCGTCTTCAACATATGAAAATTTTTATTCTGCCCTTCCACGAAATATTTAATTAGATTTCTTTTTGTTTATTTTTTTTGTGTTATTGAACTTTGGAATATTCCTCCCTGACAACCAATCAGACATTAGTTTTAAGTTGACTCAAGGCCTAAAAGTACATTAAACGATGCTTAATAGCTAGTAGCAGATACATCTGTCTTTTAAAATACAACTGGCTATATAGACACTAAACAGTTATTGTCTTTATCCTGCAATTAATTTTGTACATTGTTTTTGCTTTAAAAGATAGAAAAACTCGCATTTATTGCATTTATTTTCGATTTAAAATCATTTGAGGCCCGCGTAGTAATATTAAAAATCACACAATCAGACCGGTACGCAGAAAAGAATCTCGCATGGTCAACAATAATACATCGCTCAAAGTTAATAATTTTATTTATTATAATATATCAACTAATTTCAACAATAAAAACAAATAACAAAACATTGCCCGATTTAAAACAAAAGTGTATGATTTGTCCTACGCTTCGTAATGTTGAACTGAACGTGACATTCACTGAACATGCTGAAATTGACACTGTTGATTACATGTACACATTAAAGTTTTGAACTTGAAGATTGGCGCCGAAGAAAATGGAGTTCATCCTGCTGTTCATGTTTGTCTGTCAGCAGAAAATGGGCTTTAAAGAAATGCTTGAAAACAAACAGAACGTAAATTAATCTATAGTTAACACAAGGTCAACCAATACGTCATTGGAATGCGACTGCAATACACATTCTGAGTTCACGGAGGTTCATACAACACTCGTCAACAGCAATACACAAACATAGTCCGGCAGTGGGCGGAGCTTAAAGCGATATCTGTATAGTATACAAATACAGGCTAGCGATATCTGTTGGGCTGTATATGTATAATAAGACACCCAATTGCAGGATAAAAGGATCGTAATGATGATGTGTGGATAAATTTATCGGTTTTCAAGAGCTAAATTGACAGCGCATCATCCCTACAATGGCTTCTATTTTTACGACTGAAAAAATTTGGTGGCGTAATGGGGAAGTAGAATCCTGACTGCTCCATCTAGATGGAGGTATGGGACCGGCCGAGTTGTGACGAATGTCATTAAGATAACACAATGTGACAGTTGTTTGATCTGGTTTGACTTTGTCATCATTTATATTCAATAGGTGTTTATTAAATTAATGATTATGGCACTGTTTTCTTAATTAGTACATGCAGTAAATGAGCTATTAATCATGGTATATATTTTCCTGGACTATAAATCAATCCCAGATAATTCTTTAAATAGTTTACCGGTCCTTTATACAATGACCTACAAAATTTAAAAAAAGATAACGTTATTGTGATGAGGGCAGTTACAAAGCAAATGTTTACTCGTAATTTACAAAATAATTTTCTTGGATATCTCCGTGTAAAAGTTTCAACGATCGCTGCTGACGCATACAGATGTAATTGCATCTGTACTAGTCTATTGAATCGTTCCTGGCCCATTGATGCACAATTGTGTGTTCCCATTTTGTAGATATTTTACCGAGCGAGTACTCTAATATCGCTCGGTGAAACAAACGTGTACTCGATTAGTAATTCTTTACGGAGTTGACATCCTTAATTTTTCTATATCCTGGTATTTCCTGATACGTTTGGTCGATAACAATAACCTTCACAAAAATGCCACTCTACACACTTGCAGTTAATCTTTGTAATATAAAAAAGCCCAAGGAAACAATGTGTTATAAAATGGATTTGATAAAGTAAAATTGGTTAATTGTTGTTTGCTTTATGTCCAGTGGCAAACATTTCATGAATGTTAAGTACGAGATTTAATACAGGATAACATTTTATTAATCTGATGAACATTGCATTTATACTTTTTAACCAAAATAAATCAAATGAATTTAACATTGTAATGATATTACCACATGCAGCAATAAAAATATTAATTTGAAGGGAAAACATGAATCAACGAATAATAACCTATCAATTTCAGGACAGGGATTTATAAATAAACTTTATTAATTAACAAAGAAGAATGCTAATTTAACATACAAATGCAGTCCAATTATATAATAAATGCTAAACAATCATGCATCATTCATTTCACGTTCCAAATAAAACATATGTAAGGAAAGTAGACACAACGAGCTATTCTTTTAATTTTTCGCTTCGTTTTTCTTTTCAATACATATTCTTGACTAAGCAAACTCGTCTCGGGGGTGGGGGTGAGGGGGAGGGAGGGGCATAATCCGCATCCGGATAGAAGAGATGGTTGGATGCAGCTTAAACCATTGAACAATCTGGTACATGTACTTTATGGAAGCTGTTGCAACCCTTTTTTATGAGAAAAAATATAGATTTTACAAACGTTTGACCAACTTTAGAGTACGCATGCATTATATGACATATTTACTGTCCTTCCCTTCATATTCTGATCAGAAGGAACCTTTAATATCTTGTTTAAATATTCATGATATTCAAGCTTTCAAAATCCTTAAAAAAATAAAAATCGATATTAGTACGTCTAAAACACCAAAATAGGAAAAGGAATACGTGTACTGAATGTGTGATCTTTGCTGTATCAATAACGTATAGGAATTTAAAAAAAAAAGCGTATAAAAGTTCATTGCTAAAATTTTACATTTGGTTCTGAACGATTCCGTAACTTTTCATTTCATATATCAAAGGAAATTGATAACGACTGGCTTAATACTGGCTAGCTGCAGGCATGTGTCAGCCTTAATTTTATCTGCATGTAAGCTCGACCGCAAAATATAAACACGTAAAGACTCAAAATATCAAAAGGAATCAATAACAAAATAAACAACAATTTAAGTTGTTATCTTTTCAAGGTTTAAGTGGAAATTTTTTAGGCATGGTGTTTCGTGTAGAATGTCAACAGGTAGTGTGTGACAAAAACACTACGACAACATTGTGTGTATTATGCATCTGCGCCTGAGCTAAATTCCAGGCAAAGAAAGAAGGTTATAACCTCGACAATCAAGCGCAGGACTACGGGAAAGTTCGGGGTGCCGAAATCTGGCTTCGGAAATTGACACGGATTAAGTGTTGTGATTAGTTTCTTTTCTGATCTAAAGACGAACAATCAATTTTCCGGATCGGTTATCGGGGATGTGTATAATGCTAAATAAGTCAGTTAGCGAAATTCTTAGGCTTTTGTCCAATCCTTTGCGATGTCTGCGTAGTCTTCTGTTACCGTCGGAAAGTGATAGTGCAATTTCCCCTGAATTCATTTTTACATCAGAACTATGGTTTTATGGTTTTCAATTATTACCCAAAATCCACAATATCACAACTTTATTTGGAAGGTAGAGGTTCTTATGTCAAATTTATAATCACGTATTTTTTTGCTATTTTTTTTTAAATATTTTATTGAAAGGCATTACAAACCGAAAACAAATTATATGATGAGTATTATAAATTAATTCATTTTGCTTCAGGGTATATGTTACGATACAAAATTTTAGAAAACATAGAACTAATGCACTCAACAGCAGTTTACACAAAAAATAACACTGAATAACATTTTTATTATAAACTATATATTAAAAAAAAAATGACGTACATAATTTCAAATCTTTTAAAATTCAATTCCACTTGGTTTTATCAAATTTTAGATGTTTACCCTCTGAGATAAACATTTACAAAGGAAATTGGCCATACCTTTTTTTGGATTGCAAAATTCTACTTCAAAAACATTCCTTCTGACCCCGTTGGCGTTAAAAGATCAAAACAGAGATTTTACAAAAATCAATTTTAAAATATTCTATCAGTAATTGTTTTCTTTGGAAATAGCCCCAAATAACATTAAGAGATAGAAGACAGAGCATGTACGATTATTATCGTATCATGTACAGATGTAAAAAGTACAAGTTTGTTTCTTGCTCGTTAATCATAATTGTCATGTGTTGCTGTTGCTATATACCTTTTAGGATTTTTTGTTGTGATAATATATGATGATGTCTTACCAAAAAAGAAAAATGACTAAATAAAGACGGATACGTTCAACAGAATATCTCATGAAACACAATAAAATTTGTAGACAAATATAGTATTGACATGCTGTGCATGTTATTTTGTACAACTACAGTGGTTTCTTGACATGAATGATTGCAGAATATCCTTGACACATTTTTTTTTTATACTTTCGCGTCATAAAAGAATTATCATTAATGATAGATAAAGTGTAATAGGGAATAAATATATTTAAAAAAAACAAAGATTTCGCATAGATAAACGCACATAAAAAACAACATGCTCTCAGTAAATTGCATAAATAACGTTAGGGGTAACCAGTAAAAGATGTTAAAATGGAAATGCAAATGAGAAAGATCGAAATGTTTTAATGATTTTAAAGGATTCTTTCAGTCAAAAGAAACGAAAAAGGTGAACGGACAAACAAGAAACAGCGAACATTTAAAGCTTGAGTTTTGGTCAAGCCGAAGCCGCGAGAAAACACTTGAGTGATTCTAGATCGTTCGGAAAATTGTGCATATACATTTTTGCATCTCACACCTGTTTTCTTGCACAGTCATGTAGCACCTGTCGTGTTGCTCATGTAAGTAAAAACTCGATGACAAGTCTAATTCCGTGATGTCACATTCGAGGCAAAAAGGACGGTGCCATGGTTACGACAATTGGAACATATATGTCGTCATCTGTGAAACAGATATCCCATAATGGTCAACCAACTCGTGTGATGACTGAAAATGTTCGTAGCGATGACTTCAACTTCACCACTTGGAACCCTTGTAAGAAAATCATGATAGGTAATGCAAGCTCTAGAATATCGTATTAACAGGGAGAACAATACTCCATATGTAGGCGCTGCTGGAGTGTTGCTACATAGAAATGAAAATTTCACAATTGGGAAGCTGAAATCACCTCTATTGTCGTACAGTTTTATCTCAACTGGCCCTAATTGTCAATATTGTAAGTAAAAAAATTTAGGCAGACTAAACTGTATCTGTTGTGTCCTTTATTTCAAGTTTAGTGGTATAGATGCGTCCAACAGAGTCACCTAACTTTGAATTATTTTGTCAGAGGACCTCATATAAATACCGGAACACTTAAAGGATAATGCTAGCTTCTTTTCGTTCTTTCTAAGAAGCTCCTGTATGTTGTCTACAAGAAGAGGAGGACAGTCGGTGCCCATGGGAATGCCGATTGTTTGCTGAAAAACATGTCCTACAAACTTAACAAAAAGGTTGCAAATAAATAAAAAGCATCTTGATAAAACATTTTCAGAGAATATTTTGTTTGAATCATAGTGTTTGTACGATTCACCCCTCCCTAAATAGACTTCTTCGGACATTCTTTTTTATGAAATAAATTTTCAGTTTGTCTTAAAGTTTGGAATAGTAAAGTTTTGTGCAAAGGGTTCGGTCAAAGCTTTACACACCAATAAAATTATAAAAAGAAGCATTCAATTCTTAAATAAAGCTTATTGTTGAAGGCCGTACGGTGACCTATAGTTGTTAATTTCTGTTTCATTTTGGTCTATTGTGGAGAGGTGTCTCATTGACAATCATACCACATCTTCTTTATATATTTACACCATCGAGATCCTGGACAAGTACAACGACTATTAAAAGAATAATTCTTGTCTTCTTCTTATTGATATAAATAAATAACTCGCTTCATCCTCTTTATCTCTCAATATCAAGCATAACTCATATTTTTAAGCAGCAAATCAAGTTATTATAAGCCATATTATTTAGAAACGTTATTTTCACTAAATACCCATTATTAACCGGCTATTTGGCATTGCAGATGCAATAAGTAATACAGATCAACATCTGCTGTACACAATGGTTACACCCACTGTATAAGGGTTTGGATGGGGTCCTTCAATTCTGTATTGTTTAATTTTTTAAACCAATTTTCTGTATTCTTTAATAAATTTTGTCCATCATTCTCTATTCTTTATCTTTTTGGTCTGTGTTTTCTCTATTATTTATATTTTTTGCCCTTTATTTTGGACTTTTTGTCCATTGTTCTCTATTCTGTAAACCCAACCCAGACCTCCTGTATGAGGGTCTTGATGGGGTTTACAGAATAGAGAATATGGCAAAACAAAATGATGAATAGAAAAAATGAGCAAAAAATATAAGGAATAGAGAATAATGGGGTGCAAAAGTATAAAGAATATTTGTGGAAAATAAAAGAATTGGGTAATACAATACTGATTACAGAAATAAACGTTGGAGCTGCTGGTGAACTGTCCGTTTTATATGGCATTATACATGTACTTTGTAGCCAGTACTTCGGTATTGGCATGCATTATAATAATCGAATTCCGATTATGTCGCTATTCCTAATAAAGGTAGCTTGGGTGTCTAAGATTTTTCTTTGACTTCTGTAAAAGACTTCTTGGTCAATGAACTTTCAAATTTTAATATAAAATCCGGAGGTCACGGACCTTGTTTTTCGTTAAAATACATTGAAATTAACGAAATCACAGTTATTTTATAAGGGTTATACAGGGGAAACTTACTTTTTCCTTATTGAGGAACCATTAAATGATAGAATTGGTTAAAATTCAATGAGACAATTGCTTTTCATAAATAATTCCGAATTATTAAATAAAAATAAATGGTCACGAGCCTCAATTTTTTTTTAAAATCCCCTAAAACACAAATTGTCCTTTCAAATTCAGTATAATTATCTGCCCTTGTTTTTAAAAGGATTTTTTTTCTGAAAATTACGACACTTAATTTTTTGATAGTTTATATTTGAATTTCAAGTTTTAGATGTGTTTGTTATATATTGAATGACACTTGGTAAAATATTTTTAAACCATGCCCAGAAGGGATGCTCAGAAAAAAGACACCAAACCTTGCGGTTATAAAACTTTCGAGTACGATTTTGTACTCAGGCTCAGTAATCAACCAATCAAAATACTGAATTTAATGCTTCGATCACAAATATTGTACTCCAGTACTGAGTGAAAATTTATGACCGAGGGTCCAGGTAACGTATTACGTTCCGAATGAAACCAGCATCTCGCTGTAAAATGTGCTTTGTCGCTTGATTTCTAACAAAATCTAAATTCAATTCTTATATTTACAATAAAAATTATCTGACATTACATTTACAGAGAAAAAAATTGACAGTTTTGATTTATTTCAGTACAAAATAATGTAGATTTACATGATGATAACCTTGTAATGATGAGGGCACGTGGTAAACGGTTCCAATACGAAATAAAAGTCTGCAACATTTCCGCGTGCCTTATTTTTAGGCTAATTGAAAACACACTCAGATTTTGTACCGTAAGAGTGGAATATCAGGATATCACAGTGTCAATTTATACAGATTGATAGATCTAGATATTTTGGATTGTGAATTAGTCCAGTTCTTTTTCATTCTTATTCTAGGACCTTCCGTTTCAGCACTTTACAGTTATACAAATTAATCTGTATAATTGGAACAATTTTAGATTATGTGTTAAATATGTATCATAATTTTCTGGTATGTGGATATCATCTTTGAATAACGAAAACAGCCAGTTAGTTCCCCAACTTTCCTAAAATAAACTGAGGAGGTTTTTGAACTCCCTCCTCCCCCCTCAAAACTCGAAAAAAAAAACCAAACTTGCGGCATTAAAATCGAAAAAAACCAACAGTCCTCTTATAGAGTTGAATTTTATTAACCTTTGATTTCTGGTGGAATATCACAGTCATAAATTAGTGGTGTCTATTTACAAATATGCAAGACTGTGTTAAATTAAAAAGATCAATATAAGAATAAGGAGATGTGGTATGATTGCCAATGAGACAACTATCCACCAAAGTTCAAATGAAGTGGATAAAAGCAATTATAGGACCACCGTACGGATCAACAATGAGGAAAACTTATACCGTATAGTCGGCTATAAAAGGCTCCGATCTGAAAAATGTGAAACGAGAAAAGTAACATCCTAATTTATGATATATTAAAACAATTTACGAAAATCACAAATATAACTTATAATGTTCATAATTATAGTTTTAGCTGCTTCGCATGTGTATTCTCTTTATGATTACACAAATACGCGTACCATATTTATTTTTAGAGGACAACATCTATAAAGTTTTCTGATCATATTTGTTATTCATAGTACCAAATAAGATATGTCTAAAATTAAAAGAAAACGGATAAGGTATTTGTGGTTTATTTCAAAATAAAGTATACATGAACAACAATATGAATGATAATTTCATGCAAATGAATTAAACGAACCGAAAATCAAAACTTACCGCAAATCCGCCACAGTTTAATTCATTGTCGTTGTAATTTTTAGGAGTTTTAAATCCATATCTCCACATAGAGGACCTCATTGGGGGTTCAATCATTCTGCCATGACCCCAGACTGTCCCAATACACAACAAAAACTGGACTAACGTTAGTTTATCCATAACTGTATGTGTGAACGGTAAATATGGAAGTGAATGATTTAGACATGTTATAGTCCATGATGTGTGACGGAGTCGTTACAGACAATGATTTTCTCATAAATATGACAATTTAGGACCCATAAATAATGTTTGACCAGTTTTATTTAGAACGTATTGTAGAAGAGCGGAAAAAGTTCCCCGAATGCATCGTGCCCTTCTCCTCGTGTCACGCCAATTTGTAATTGCATACGTCAATACCATGCCAGTATAATATAAAGGAAATAAGTTGACAGCCTTGACGAATTCAAACTTTAAACACAAAGTGTTTCTTTTTTTTTATAATTCTGTACTTTTAACTCAGTTTTCAAAGAACAAGCTACAGCAAGGCTCTATCTATTTCAATAAAGTTTAGTTTTTGTTTTCAAGTTTCATGATATGAGTTCATTGTGTTTGATGCATGCGAGAAGCAAAAAGCGCAGTGAATCATAAATAACAACTGCCATATATCTTGGTTGTATGTATGCCCGTAATTCTTACTAATGGATATATCAAATTTGAGTTTTACCTTTTCACAATAAAACAAATCTCACTATTAGTCTTAATTTGGTCTCTATGCATACTTTTTTTAAACCGCAATCAACTGATGTTTGCACAAATCTTTCCGCATTTTGAGACAAAATCGTATTGGTTAGTAGACATTTTATTTAAACCGTTACTATTTCCTGTAAAAATTTAAACTTAAGGTAGATCGGGTGTGTTTTTCTGAGCATACCTTCTGGGCATGTTGCAAATATACTTTTTTGTTTTACAAATATTTTACAAAGTATTATTCAAAATACAACAGAGATATTTTAAACCTGATATTTTAAGATTAAACTTTAAAAAGATTAAGTGCCGTTAAGTGTATTTTAAATTTTTAGAAAAGAATCATTTCAAAATCAAGGGCAGATTATTATATAGAATTTAATAGGAGGGGGGATTATTCAAGAAAATAAGGCCCGGGACCCACTATTTTTTATTTTATATTCCGCAAGTATTTACAAAAAGCAATTCTGTTGGATTTTAACCAATTCTATCGTTTAATGTTTCCTCAAAAGGAAAAAACGATGTTTCGCCTATATAACCCATATGAAATAACTGTGAATTCTTTAATTTCCGTGACCCCCAGGTTTTATATTAAAATTTGAAAGTACAATTGACCCGGGAGTCTTTTACAGAAGTTCAAGAAAAATCTATCGTCGAACATTAAGACACCCCAGCTACCTTCACTGGTTTTTCTTTTTTCTGCATTTTAAAATATTTGAATTTTTATTATTATAGTTGATAGATAATAATCTGATGAAAATAAAAATTCATTAAACTAAAGCTAGAATCAAAAGCATGAATCATTTTAGAGAAGAAACAATTATTAAACTTCGGAACTAACGATCACATTTGATTGCACAATCATGTAATCATTTTACAGGAAATAGTAAATACATCATCATTAACAAGTCAGAAATAGCTTTTTTTTATTTCTTTTTCATGGATATTGCAATGGATAATTGTTATCGGGAATCGCGTAACGAAAATGGCAATTGTTCTGGTGATGTCATGTTCATACCTACGTACTAACCAATATCGCTTCAAACAAATAAAATTATACTGAAAATTGCATTTTCAGCTTCAAATGACGTAATCAAAAATCGTTTACTATTAACATGGTATTGATCAAACTCGGAGAAGCTCTTCAATTAAATGTAAAGGCAGACGACACTTAAATCATCAAACGGCTGTCATGTCATTTACAGTTAATTATTGTGTTCAAACAACTTTACATGTGCTAAACATAGCCTTTTAATTAAATTTTTATATAAATTAATTCATAAACATTTTTAAATCAATTAATTCGGTAACATTTTTATATAAATTAATTCATAAAATTTGTAATGTAAATGGTACATCAAGGAAATCAAATTGTGTAATATATGTACTATGTATCATAACTCGGCGTAGAGTGTGCAAGTTTACAGAAGCGTATTAGGGACATAGTAAAAATGACATTGAACGTTATTTCAAGGTCAAAATGATGTCATTTAAAATCATAAAATTTTGACTTCAACTAAAAATTTTAACTTTTCAAATCTCGGAATTGTGACTTTTAAAATCTTGAAATTTCAACATTTTTAACTTAGTCAAAATTTTGACTTTAAATAAAAATTTCGACTTTTTCAATCTCGAAATTTTGACTTTTAAATCTCACATTTTCGACTTTTAAAAACTCAAAATTTCGACTTTTCGACTTTTCTTTGGTATTTAAACGTTGGCGATTGTCACATTCACAGTCATTTATAATAGCAATCGGAGACAGATATACATCATAAACTTGATGAGTAGTTTTTAATGAACAAGACCATTTTACTAATTTTTTACAACTTTTTACAACTTGAATATAGATTTGAAGAGGCTTTAGATAGAAATATTTTTTTTTGCAGAAGAATAAATTAAATATGTTTTACCAAGGATTTGTATAGTCTTGCTATACAAATTCTTGGTTTCACGTACAAATATCTACTTCAAGTCTGGACTTCAGATATGCGGATCAAGGCAACCCCGCTAGTTCGACACACCTATATTACGCCATATTTTTATTTAACAGCCTAATATTGAAAGACAAATCCCACAAGTTTGAGCTTTCTAAAAAGCTGTGGACTGCTTCGCTCTATACTAATGTAAGGTAATATGTGTGCATGTGGTTGTTGAATTAGTATTCTGGAGGTGTGCCTCTCTGAAGGTGTGCCTAGATTGACAGAAGTTATAAAATACAGATAATGCATTTTTGTAAACATTGTATAGGAACATTGTTTAGCAAAACAAATCGTGCATATTGCAGATTAATAAACACGTATTAATAATTGATGTTTCAATGTTGAATTTCAGTGTGCAATGTATGCATAATAAAACGAACATGAATTAATGACAGTTGATCGAAACTGAAATACACATAGTTAATTTTCCGGCATTTGATGTCTTATCCTGAGACGAGAAACGTTTGTAATTCTTTATCTCATTGAAGCCAATAGCTGTTGCTGTATCTCAGCCGCATCATTAGGCAACCAATCAGAATCTATATGTGATTAGTAATTATTTCAAGATGGCGTGTATATCGACTGAAACTAATAGCTCCGCACCGTGATGCGAAGCAATAACATTCAACATTCCAAAAACTAGAAAAATGAGCAGCTCATGAGTCGTCCTGAATATGCATGGCATATTTGCCACTTGAATGACCATTGTGTAAACAAGGCAAAGTCAATTGGCCTTTAAAACCAACCATAACACATGGGATGCAAAATGTCCTCAGATCTGACGATCCTATGACAGTGTTGTGGAAATTAAAATATGGAATATGGGCAAACAACATTTTTTTCCTGTTAACATGCATGTTCTTTCCGAAGTAAAACTTTTCAATATTACATGCTAGTCCATATCATAATTTAAGAACAAAAACAATTTCTGAATATGAATTGCCAAAACGTTGGAGTGACGCTTTAGTAATTTGCGCCCATGTCTCCTTCCATGATCACTTGATAATTTTTTTTTAAATCAATGCGAAAAATATATAATTTAAAATGATAAATATGTTCAAAATAAATAGCTATCGACATATTTTTTATGCATTATCTTTATATTTACCTGTATTACCTGTAAAATGAATGCGCGAAAATAGTATAAAAAGGTGCGCGCAAACGTAAAAAGAAAAATAATCTACAAATGCGCGCAAATGTAATGCGTCCAGTTGTATGGTCAATTTTTACTTAATATGTCATAAGATATATCTTAGAACAATTGTTATGACCATCTTATTACTATCATATGATATGTCATAGAATGTAAATCAAAGCTGTGTAAGATAGTCATACCTATGATGCTCTTATGCCTGTCATAAGGGAACATATTTTCTTTTATTTTAAATAATGATTAAATTAATGGAAGATGTGTCCATGGGACACAGATGATGCCCCCGCTTGCAAATAACGTTATAAAGGGAGATAACTCAAGAACGGTAAAAGTGACGCAACACAAATTCGAACTTGATCTGTGTTTTGTAGTAATAAGCATTGTGTAAAAGTTTTTGTGTATAACATTTTATTGAGGCAAACAAAACTAAAGTTAGAAACGGAAACTAATTTGGGACGTACGGACGGCCAAGGGTACCACGTAGTACCCCCTCCGGTGCGGCGAGGGCATAAAAATGATAAAAATAACGATAAAAGTAATAAGTATGAAAAAAATAATTATAATCATTTTTATTATTTACGAATATAATTTTATTATTATAATGAACATGAAATTATATATAAAAAGGAATTAAAATCTGAGTTGAAAATTTTTTATAATAAAGTTTGTATATATGTAATAAAATTCTAGATCTTCGTATTCATGTACTATTTTACATGAAGTGTTATTTAATTTTAAGATTTGGTACATCTAGTAACCGTTAACGAAATATCCGTGCAAATACGTTAATAAACTACTATATAAAGAAAGCACTAATATATAGTATATTAAATTATATGGCCTTCCAAATACCGTTTCGATTCCTAACTTCACTGAAGAGACATTAATTGTCGAAATCCGGATATGGTGTACTAATTTTTGCACCTTTTGTTTGCGGTATACATTCTTTTCTGCAAGTTTATTGTTTTCTGTTTGGTATTAAATTAATAAATAAGATCCATTTTGTTACATCTGGTGATCCGTATATTTGGCAATCGCCAATGGCAGTCAGCATGGTTTAAGAACATCCGTTGTTCGACCTGCTAGTCAAATGCGTTTTGTTAAAATATACCTTTTCACTTTTTTGGTCTTTTGGAAAATGTTGTTTGTGCTGTATTTAGACCCCTCTAACATAAAATTTGTTTCGCATGCACACGTATAAAAATTGCGGTTTTTATCCAACGCAAATCATAGGTTTGAACGTTGTTTTCAATTTAGACTTGTTTATATATATATATAATATAATATATGTGTACGTCTGACCAGTGACAACTCTACGACAGATTTTATCCACCGGATTACCAGTGATGGTGATACAAGGCTGAAAACACATTCTGTATACATAACTCGTCTAAATAACAGCCCAACAATGTTAGATTTGTAAATTTGAGGAAGCAAAGTTTTTGTTCTTCCCTTGCCGAGATTTGAACTCATTCGAACTCATGCTACTGAGATATC